GTGCACCACCATTGCCAGCTACAACTTCCTATCTTTCAACCAACATCTCTCCATTTCCACCTTAGTCCTGCCAAATACTTTTTCTATTCTCTGCATCTGTGAATTCAAATTTTTAATTTCTAAGATTTTTTTGAGATTATAATGTGTTATTATCATTCCCCTTCCCTTTTCAACATCCAAACTCTCCCGTATATCTACTTGCTCTCTTTTAAATTCACGGCTTCTTTCTTTTACTAATTGTTATATACATATATTTATGCATGTTATATAAACATAAATTGTGTTTTTAATTTACTTTCAGGGTACAGGTAATTGAAACTTGTGTAGGCTAGGCAAATGCTCTACCACTAACCTGCAGCCTGGGCTCACGGTGTTTTGATCCAACATAGAAGTTAGATGATGAAGCATTTGTATTTTTGTGTCTGACTTATTTCACTTTGTATATTATTCCCCAAATTTGTATGCATTGTTGCAAGTGGAAATTCCCCTTCCTCTTATGGCTAAGTAATATTCTGTTTTATATGCACATCTTCTCTTTCCATTCATCAGTGAACAAAAGCTTGGGTTGTTTACACATCTTGGCTATTGTGGATAATGCCACAGTGAACATGGGAGTGTCAATACTCTTTGACATATAGCTCTCATTGTCTTTGGCTTTATACCAACCAAGTCAAGTAGTGGTATTCCTGGATTATTCAACATCACCTTCTATTTTCAGTGCTTTTAGGAAACCTTAATATTGCTTACTAAAGTAGTATTAACTTACACCAGTGAAGGTAAGTTTCCTTTTCTTCACATCCTTCTCAAAACTTGCTACCCCTTGTGCTCTTGACGTAGTCATTCCAGTAGGCGTGAGCAGACATCCTTTTGTGGCTTTAATTTGCATTTCCCTGTTAGTTAGTAATGTTGAATTTCTTTTAATCCATTGGGGCACTTGTAAGTCTTCTTTGTGATCATGTCTATTTAAATCTTTCGCCCACTTTTATTTTTGCTATTGAGTTTAATGACCTCTTTGTATATTTTTGAAATTAACCTTTTGATGTAGTGTTTGAAACTATTTTCTCCTTCCATAGGCTACCTTTTCCTTCTGCTGATTGTTATCTTTGCCGTACAGAATGTTTTCTTAGGTGAATCGCTTCTTTCTGCTTTTGTTGTCTGTCCTTATGATACCTTTCTTTGCAACTTGATTCATTAATTCATTTAATCCAGTATTTGAATTCTACCTAAATCCAGGAACTTCCCCAGGCCCTAAAAATTAAAAAGTAAGACTACAGCTGGGGACTAGCTCAGTGGTGAAGACCAGGCACTGTTCTTGCAGAGGAGCCAAGTTCAGTTCTTAGCACATACATTGGGTGGCTCACATCTACTTACAACTCCAGCCTAGGACAATCAGATGCCGCTAGCCTTCAGAGGTCCTTGCCCTCACACAAACATGCGCTCATGCATACACTTAAAAATGCATCTTATGGGGCTGGAGAGATGGCTCAGAGGTTAAGGACGCTGACTGCTCTTCCAGAGGTCCTGAGTTCAATTTCCAGCAACCACATGGTAGCTCACAATCATCTGTAATGAGATCTGGTGCCCTTTTCTGGCATGCAGTCATACATGGAGGCACAACACTGTATGGTATACATAATAAATAAAATCTTTAAAAAATGCATCTTAAGGGCCAGGCGGTGGTGGCAGATGCCTTTAATTCCAGCATTCAAGAGGCAGGGGCAGGCAGATCTTTGTGAGTTTGAGGACAGTCTGACCTACAGTACGAGTGTCAGGATAGGCTCCAAAGCTACACAGAGAAACCTTGTCTACATCCCCCCCAAAATAAATAAATAAAATGTATCTTAAAATAGTAGGCCCATTTCTTCTGGTTGAATGGCAGGAAAAGAAGAAAATATATCAAGGCTGGAGAAATGGTTCAGCAGTTAGGAGCACATGTTGCTTTTGTAGAAGATAAGAGTTCAGTTCCTGACACCCACATGAAGGCTAACCGTCATCAGCAACTCCAGTTCCAGGAGGTCTGACAACCTCCAGGAGGTCTGAGAACCTTTTCTGACTTTCATGAGCATCAGGCTTGTATGTGGTACACATCCATCCATCCAGGGAAAACATCCAGACACACGAATCAAAGACAACATCAGTAGGTGAGAATACCAAGTGAAAAAAATCAGAATGGGGATTGCCGCACTGATGAAGAAGCCATTGCAGTGTGGATTGCCGTTGGGATTTCGGAGTGTAATAAGGGCTAATGACGTCCACTATAGAGACGTCCGATGTAGAGAAATATACAGATTACAGATTGATACTAGCTGATAAAAAAGCATTATTCCAGGCTCATCGTTAAGAAGTTGAGGGTAAGCTGAGATCAACCTACAGACGCAAGGCCTAGTCAACAGCAGAAACATGGACTGAACCCATCATACAAACCAGTATGGAATATGAATGTAATTTACAATGCTCTGTAAGATGAGGGAATTCACCATAGTTAAGCAAGAAAAGCAAGAAATTCTGCAAAAGCAGGGAGTGGAAAGCCTTACCTTCTACAGGATGGAGGTGTTTGATACCAATTCCCAGCCTTGAGGCCTGTTTGTAACAATCCCCCAGAGGACTGGGGTCACCTGTGGCTCCAATAACCACCTTTACCGACATGGTTCTCATCCTATTTGGAAGATGTTTGAACCCTTAACTCTTGTTCCAGGCCTCTCTAACTCACGCCGTGAGGACAAAGCACATCTTTAAAAAAGCTATCTTTGGCGGGTCCCAAACAGGCAGAAGCCTCAGGAATGCGCCATAACATCCCACCCACATCCCTTCCCTTTCTTTATTCAAACAAATCTGAAACAACAAAGGTTGGAAACTTTCCACTCCGCCTTATTATAACTGTGCCATGGGTACACAGCCGGCTGGGGTTTTCAGTAGCCCGAGGGAGATAGGGACGTCTGCTCCGAGCTCACTCCACTCCCACAATAAACAATCACTAAACAGCTTGCTGCCCTAGGCAACTGCTTGTCCAGCTTGGTGAGGTTCTGAGACTAGGGTGGGCAGGGTTTTAAACCAGAATGTAGGCTCCGAGGCCAAGGAATGCTCAGGAGTCTAGTACACCTTTGAGACACAGGGGTTTCCTTTAGAAGACCCCTTTTCCGGATGACGGAGTTTGGGGAAGGGGAGTCAATAGAAGGAAGGTCAACTGAGGGAAGGAAGAAACGTGGCACATTCACTGGAAATAAAGTTAATTTTTTTTCTTTAAAGGTTCCCTTCTATAGCTAGGGCAGGTGACATTTTAAAAAATACCACCTCAAGAATAACACCAACAATGGGGGCAAAATGAAATGGCTTCTCTTCAGCCATTAGGTTCCTCCCGGTCAGTGAAAATAACAGGTGAGAGGTACTCAGGAACGAAGAGAGGGAGGGCAAGCAGATCAGAAGGGGTCAGGAGATGTTTTCTCCAGCTCACAAGCACGGATTGAGAGGGGCAACAATTCCACCCGACTGTGACTATTCCCCTTTATTGCTGAGGATGGGTGTCTCCGTGAGGAAGACAGAAAAATATGTGGGTTACCCAGGTGAATTAGGAAAGCCGTTTAAATGTTCAAAAGAAAATACAATATATATTGTATATATATATTATACAATACATATATATTGTATATATATACATATACTATATATACTATATGTATATATACATATACATATACATATACATATACATATATATATATATATATATATGCCTCCGGGTCGAAGTGTGGGGGAGAAACATCCCGGCCAGAGCTCTCTTTCCACGAAGTCCCCACCTCCTCCCCTCGCTTCTCCATTTTCAGGCATCCTTCCCCAGGAACCGGTCCTCACAACCTCCTGGCGGGGAGGCGTTCCCGGCTCGTGGAGACCCCGGGAATCCCGACCAGCGGGCTGCCGGGCGTGTCCCCCCACCCTTCCTCCCGCGCCTGTGAGGCCAGCCTGGTCCAGGTCGCATTCCGAGCCGAAGGCCAGTGGTGGGCGACGCCCGGCCAGGCTCGCGCTCCGCCCGCCGCTCGTGCGCTCCGGGGTCCCCCGCGCCCGCGCCGCGCCGGCGCCTCTGCCGGCCGCCGGGGGTTATGAATGGGCGCAGCGGAAGCCCCGCCCCACCCGGACGTGACGCCCGGCCAATGGCAGCACGGGCTGCGTGGATGGATGAGGTCAGCGCTGTCGTGTCGGGAATGGAATGTGTAAGTGTAACATTCAGAACCGGGTAACATTCGGCGACCGATCGCGGCGGTCGGCAGCGCTAGCGCGGGGCCTGCGAAGCGCCGCTCGGGGCCGGCACTGCCCGCGGGGAGGACGCGCCGCCGCCGCCGCCGCCCGGCGTCGCCTCGTGCAGCAGCCGGCCGGGCCGCCGCGCGCCCGGGGAGCCGGCCCCGTGAGCGCAGGAGTAAACACCGGCGGAGTGTGGGAGCCGCTGCAGAAGGGAATAAAGAGACATGCAGGGATTTGTGAGGTTACGGCGCCCCAGCTGCAGGATGCACTAGCCGGCTGAAGCCGGGGCGGGTTGACTTGTTGGAACCGTAGTGTTCTGCACGGGAGTGTGGATGAGTTGAAGTTGCTTTCCCCGGGCTCGTTCTCCACGCCGCCGAGAGGAATCCAAGCAGCGAGGCAAGCACTTCGTCTTGCCATTGATTGGGTATCGGGAGCGTTTTCTTCACCGTTCTCTTTCTTTTTCCTCCGTCTTGTTGCATGCAAGAAAATTACAGTCCGCTGCTCGCCCGCCCTGGGTGCGAGACCTTCTGCCCGGCTCTCTCCCGTGCATTGTGCAGCCCAAAGATGAAAGACCGAAGGGGAGAAAGTTAAAGAAATCGCCCACATGCGCTGGATCAGTCCACGGCTTGGGGAAAGGCATCCAGAGAAGGTGGGAGCGGAGAGTTTGAAGTCTTTACAGGCGGGAAGATGGCGGACTGGAGCTGAAAGTGTTGATTGGGAAACTTGGGTGATTCTTGTGTTTATTTACAATCCTCTTGACCCAGGCAGGACACATGCAGGCCAAAAAACGCTATTTCATTCTGCTCTCAGCTGGCTCTTGTCTCGCCCTTTTGTTTTATTTTGGAGGCGTGCAGTTTAGGGCATCGAGGAGCCACAGCCGGAGAGAAGAGCACAGTGGTCGGAATGGCTTGCACCAGCCCAGTCCGGATCATTTCTGGCCCCGCTTCCCGGACGCTCTGCGCCCCTTCTTTCCTTGGGATCAATTGGAAAACGAGGATTCCAGCGTGCACATTTCCCCCCGGCAGAAGCGAGACGCCAACTCGAGCATCTACAAAGGCAAGAAGTGCCGCATGGAGTCCTGCTTCGATTTCACCCTTTGCAAGAAAAACGGCTTCAAAGTCTACGTCTACCCGCAGCAGAAAGGGGAGAAAATCGCCGAAAGTTACCAAAACATTCTAGCGGCCATCGAGGGCTCCAGGTTCTACACCTCGGACCCCAGCCAGGCGTGCCTCTTTGTCCTGAGTCTGGATACTTTAGACAGAGACCAGTTATCACCTCAGTATGTGCACAATTTGAGATCCAAAGTGCAGAGTCTCCACTTGTGGAACAATGGTAGGAATCATTTAATTTTTAATTTATATTCTGGCACTTGGCCTGACTACACCGAGGACGTGGGGTTTGACATCGGCCAGGCGATGCTGGCCAAAGCCAGCATCAGTACTGAAAACTTCCGACCCAACTTTGATGTTTCCATTCCCCTCTTTTCTAAGGATCATCCCAGGACAGGAGGGGAGAGGGGTTTTTTGAAATTTAACACCATCCCTCCTCTCAGGAAGTACATGCTGGTATTCAAGGGGAAGAGGTACCTGACAGGGATAGGGTCAGACACCAGGAATGCCTTATATCACGTCCATAACGGGGAGGACGTCTTGCTCCTCACCACCTGCAAGCACGGCAAAGACTGGCAAAAGCACAAGGATTCTCGCTGTGACAGAGACAACACGGAGTACGAGAAGTAAGTAAGGGCTGCCGCCCTTCGAGGCTCAGCTCAGGGCCCTGGATGCCCGAGTCCAGGTGTGTGTGTGTGTGGGGGGGGATGCCGGGTGGAGACGGAGAAGCCCTCAGATCTCTTCTTCCTGTTTTGGAGCCTGGAACCAAGCAGCTTGGTTCCAGCGTGGGGGCTGAGTTTGAGCTTCTTAGGCAAACTCGACCGTCAAGTAGGTGAAGGTGTCTCGCCGATACTTTGAAAACCATCCAGGACCGTGTGTCTTCCGTGCATTACCGGGTTCTAATCCAAGTTTGGAAACTGCGCTTCACTGAGGGGTATTAGAGAATGTTTGTGAGGTGTCTGGAAACCCGGAGAGACGGATTCTTTCCAGGTCCACAGACACTCGGCCCTATGCTGTTTGTGTTCCTCATGAACATGGGTACCTGTTCTCCGTGGAGTTCGCCAGCCTTTAATTTTTATCCCCCCCCCCAGCTTTAGATTCTTGCTAGCTGCAGGAATATTTAAATTTTAGCCGCCCAACTTGTGACTGCTTCTTACTCCGTCCACAGCATTGTTATTTATCAAAGGTAGACTGTAAGTTGGCTGAGGCCTGTGGCTTTGAATGTATTCATTCATTCATTCATTCATTCATTCATTCCCTCACTCATTTGGACAAGTCCTGGCTTCTTTGGAGAAACTTTAAAATCTGGGCCTCAGGCCCTCTGCAGTAAACTACCCTTGCTAATTTAGATTTCCCTTTCTTCTTTGTCTTTGTCTATTTGCATATAAATGTAGACTGTTACTCTTTGAATGGGCTTGAGATGCCTCCTTAGCCTCTGTGGAGAGGAGAGTTTTGTCTAGTTGCTAAGTAACTGAGTTGGTTACTTTGTAGCCCCTTTCAGTCTTCCTTTTCCTGGTCTTTAACAGTAGCTGACACACAGGATTGCGGGTCAAAGTTAGAATCCACACATCTGCTTTAAACCGAGGCTAGCAGGTCAGTTTCCTGATAGCTGAGGTCAGTGGCCCAGACTCTCGCTTGTGTCTGGCTGGGAAAGAGTCAGTGAGCTCCTACCGTGCATTTCCACTTTCCGCCAGTTAAAAATCAGAGCAGCCTTGTGCTACCCAGGGAAGGAAGGGGGAACCTCTCAGCTGAGTACAACAGGAACTGGCAGAGGTTGGCCGACTGTGCAATTGATTCACGAAATGCAGACTAGGGGAAATGCTTCCCAAACCTGATTGGATCAGAAAGGAGCAGGGTGGGAAAGGGGCCCTGAAATGAAAGGGTTGATTGTGTCCAAAGATTTCCTCAGACTCTCTGGTCTTCGTGGAAGTGATTGCAAGGAAAATTAAAAGTCCTCCCAGACTTGATCATAGAGAATGAGGGAGGGAGTACCAAGTACTGGGGTTCTGCTTCTGAACCCCTAGGACCTTCTCCAGTTCAAGCATAGGAAAAGTTGAGGCTGGGATCAATTGTGAATCCATATTTTCCTCTTACGTAGGGAAGTTATGTGTGAATATTGAGTGTTGTGACGGAGTGAATCCCCCCCTCACACACACACATAATACTCTTAAACTGTGGTCAGAAAGAAACTGCTTTGTTTAAAGGACATCCACTTTGATATATTCCGGGGGTGCTTGTAAGAAAACAGCGCCTTCTAGGAATTTCTTTGGCTGGTATGTGGTAAAGTAACTTGATAAGGTGTGCCTGATCTTTTGATGTCTTCTAAAGAAATCTCACCCCATTTTATAGAAAGATCAGGATTTCTTCATTTGCAAGAGCAGGGGAGCTTGCACCATAGGCAACTGTGCATATGTTTGGGAAATATCCTGAGTCCTGGACCTCCAGTCATATCTGCCTTGTGGTCTTTTCCCCAGAGCCAATATTCAGTCTTTACACTTTCTGTGGGAAGCCTACATTTGTTTTCTAGAGAGCAGGGGTGAAGAAAGGGGTGGCTGGCTGACTTCCTTGCAACTTTGTTTTGGTAGTTTAATATGATTGATTTTCCACCTTTCTGAGATTGGGCCAAAAAAAAAAAAAAGTCTGACATTTTCCACCTTTGTCTTGATTTATGTTGAAAGAGCACCTGGGTCAGGGCCTCCCGATCATCTCTTTGGACATGTGGCATTTAGATAGAAAACAAGTTTGCTCTTTCTTTGGAGCAGGGTTTTCCTTGGTTTTATATTCACTTTTACACTTTTTGCAGCCCTTGTTTTGCTTAATAGGATGGGTTAGGAGTGCAGAACCCTTGCACTCACCAGCCTGGAGTTCCTAAAGTTTTAATTCCTTGCCTATCTTGGATCATCAGAGTTATTACTTGCAAATGTTATAGGGTTTCACTTTTGACTTTGGAATACACAGGGATGAAACCCGAACTCAGAAACCTGGAAGCAGGGTGTCATAGAGCAGACACACGACACACCTATGCTACACTCTGAAAGCAATAAAAGCAAGCGATGGATGTGATCCTTACCCTGGGGCCTGCAGAACTCCTCAGCCCCACTGAGGCCGACCACAACAGGCCTTTGGAAGAGCAGGAGATACTGATGTCAGGTCTGTGGAGGTGATCCTTGAGGGTTTGGGTTTTTATATGGAATCAACTCTTGAGTTGGTTTCTACTCAGGGTTTAGGCTGTTTTCAGGGTGCTCCGAGCATTCACTTAATAACAAATTGGAAAGACAGGATCAATTTTCATCTACTTCTCGTCTTCATTAGCAAGTGCCTATGAAAAGGTTTCAACTTAATTTGCTTCTGCAGGCAGTCTCGTACAAGTTTGCTTTGGACACCGGATTTGATAATTAGATTGGAAATTTGCGGTAACTTGATCGTGTTAGGCTGGTAGAACGTGAGCAGATGCTTCATCCCCACACATGTTAGTTGCTTTTAGTGATAGTGTGTGATGCTGTAGGTTTAAAGTCAGGTGGGTGAGGATTCCTGTCCCACTCATGATTTTGTGAAAACTCACACATTGGTCACACCAGCACAGAGCAGCTCTATCAGGTGAATGGAAATGTTATCCCAGAGAAAAAAATTAGTTCCTGTGAACTTTGACCCAGCTTTCCAAGATTATATTAAAAATCCATATTTTAATGATGTACTTTTTTTTTTTAACCAGTTACATATTGTTTTAGTTTTTTGAGACAGGGTTTCTCTGTGTAGCCCTGTCTGTCCTGGAACTTGTTCTGTAGACCAGGCTGGTCTTGAACTCAGGGATCTACTGTCTCTGCCTCCTTAGTGAGGGGATTAGTACAACCCCCACCACACCCTGCATTAAGTCACACATCCTGACAGGCATAAGTGACAGCCACTGAAACAAGTCCCTGATGGAATTTGGTGATCTGGAGTGAAGCCTTGGAGCAATGCTCTCCATCCTAATTCTTTTTGGCTTCTTAGGCATCCTTACTATGTCTCTGCATGAAGGTCACAGTTCAGATCCCCTTGAAGGTCATTATTCTGGGACTTCAAGTTTGGTTATCCCAAACAGAAGGAAGAGACGGTAATGAGAGGTGGCGTCTACTTTTGACGCCCCCATGATTGTTTCCAAGCAGCTTTTGTGAGAACAGTCAAGACTATGCAGATCTTTGGACCCTTTTCTGTGTTCCCTATTGGACCCTTTTCGGTGTTCCCTAAAGCTGTACTCCACTAGTATTTAAAAAACAAAAAACATTTCAGTGTAAGTGTGTGCACATGTCCATATGGAGGCCAGTGCTCTTCTTTTGGTGAGGTTCTGAGAATCGAACGCTCATCCTTAGGCTTGGAGACAAGTGCCCTTCCCCACCGAGACACCTCATCAGCTGCAGCCTTGTCATCTTTAAGGTGTCCTTAGGTTTCTAGCATTCTCGTTTCTTAGGAGTAGGAAATAGAGGATGGCAAATTTTAGGGACCAGCCAGAACTCTTGACGGCTATCAGGAGTAGTTCTAGGATGGCTTTTGGGATCTTTCATTAGTCAGCGCTCTTCCGTTTCTAATTGCAAACCCTTTGGAAATTCTCAGCCCCCAGGACATCTGACCTGGTGATGGTGGTTGGTGCTCCTGCAATTTGATGAAAACGTTCCAAAGGGCCTGTCAGGCAGCAAAAAAAAAAAAAAAAAAAAAAAGTCATATCCAGTTTATCCTATACCTTAAAAAGGGCTGATGCACCTCTTTAAAGGATATCTTCAGAGTCTTGCTGTGGGGTTCATATTTTCTTTTTATTTGTTAATTATGGTGGGTGTGTCCCAGGAAGTGCTTAGCTTAACTAGTTCTTCTTTTTTTTAATATTTTACTTTATTGCGGCTCTCTATATGGGTTGAAGAATTTAGGGGAACAGATCGAATTGACCAAACAAGTTGAATGAAGACGCCATGGTAGAGGACGGGAAATGTGCTTGAGACAGGTCCTAACACAGAAGGGCTTTTCTCTTTTTTGCTCCACTATCCTAAAATGGCTTGACAGACACTTGGAGCAAGTTCCTTATGGCCCAGGCCTAACTCTTCGCTAAATGCTTTCCTCCTTGGAAGTGAGAGGCAGGAGCTGCGTGTCCCAGACTTCAGACGTCCAATATTAGCGCCTTTCTCCCCACAGGTGTGTGATGGCACAAAAGTGTTTCTCAGATAAGCTACAGATTAGAAAAAAGCCGACAGGCATGTTTCTGACAGTGAAGCTGTACCCCCTCCCCTGTCTGAACCCATTTTTGCAGAGACCACCTGAAAGTCTGCTTCACAGAGAATTAAGGTTGGGGGTGGGGGGTGCTATCACTTCTTGGAGGGATATTTGCATTTTGTTTGAGTGCTGAGTAAGGAGCCTCTGAATGGTATCTCTTACCTGAGCTATGGGCCTAAAAGATTGTACTACAATTCTTGACAAACTGCTAAGATTTGACCATGTCCTCCTGAGAGGAGGCCACCTTTGTTCCTCTTGACACCGGGTTGGGCGGCACAGAATTGACAAAAGGAGACACCATACATTCCGGTGGTTACGGTTTAACCTCATATCCTGGAGGATCTGCTGTCGCAGACCAGGGTTCTAGAAAACTCTCTCAGTGACTTTG